GAAAGTGGACTTTCTCACTATCTGGTTCATCTATAGGGTGAGCAGCAGGCTATATTGGATATATATGTGGAGAGTGATGAATGGTAGTTTGAGACCCTAGAGTGGGCTGACATGGCTATAGTTATTCAGAATGCTCTAATTTTACTATCCAGATTTTGAAGTTTAGACTAAAAATTACAGTGATTTCATTTTTCTTCATATAGAATCAGGTAGTTTTAACCTTAAGTACATGCAGATACATGAGTAGGCACCTGCCTATGGCTATATATGGATTGTATGTATATGTGTATGTGTCTGTATGCATGTTATGCTTTCAAATTGATTAGTTATTGTTTTCTGAGCTGCTGCTTGATAAAAATTTTAAGCAAGCGGTGCAAATGATCTATCATATGGTATAGATGAATATTGAACTAGGCCTCCAACAAATAGACTTCTTTTCTACTTTATGTTCTCGGAACATCAAATGACATTGAACTTTTCATATTTGTCCTGAGAATAATGGCCTGAAACTGGAATTTCCCACCTTTTGTGTCAAGCTACCAAAATCTTATCTAGATGTACTTTGTCAAAAAATCGGTGATTTGACATGGATAGGCTGATCGGTTTTTCCTTTTCATTTATCCATTAAGTCTAGTTCATGTTCATAAGGACGTCAGAGAAATGACAGCTATAACTCTTGCTTAGCATGAAGAAATAACTTTTGGGCAAGTAGGAGATGATTTAACTACTTGCAGGACGAGTTTGCTGATGTACATTACTCCCTTGTATGTGTATAAGTGAGAATAATCACTGCAGGACGAGTTTGCTGATGTACATTACTCCCTTGTATGTGTATAAGTGAGAATAATCACTCATGCTCTATGAAGGCCAATTGATAATGTGCTGCATGTGTCAACAATGATGACTTCCTAGCCTTCATTTTCTTTAGTCAACACTTGCCCTACGAAATGTTTCCCCATTGTTTCGCATAATAGACCTAACCCAGTTTATATACGATGTCCTTTGTCAGTCGATGAAGTGTAAGATAAGATTGCATCTTTTCTAAGTTACCTCCTTATTTGTCCACTCTCCTTGATAGCAGATTGGATTGTGCGAGTCTTGATTAAAATAAAAAAATCCATTACTCAAGTTAGTTATGGAAGGTTTGTTCATGCTGCTTGTTGCTTCACGATTTCACGGGACTTCAAACGCTATTATCTCAATAAACACTCATCTCTCGTATTAGACGGCATATAGTGTGGTAGCATTATGAGCCTACTTAAGTAAAGGAAAATTTACTTGCCTATTTGATGTACTCATTTAGTGCCTTATCTTGTGTTTTTGAAAGGATCTGATATACTAAAAATAGACTAAGTTGAACTTTCTTCTAGTTTATTCCTATTTCCTCTTCTCTGTCCGTCCTGTCTTTTCAACTTTCTTCTGTCTCTGAATATTTCAGTCTTAGCACCCTTTATTTCTCCTTGTGTAGGTATGATCTCTTACACAATGCACATCTTAATCTTGAAGGGTTAGACGAGCTCTTCAAAGTTGCTCAGGTACAAACAAAATCTTTCCTTACAGAATATATGGATTAGAAGTTGGTGTTTCCTTTTCTTTTTCGTTGTACCACAGAAGTGACACCAGACCCCATGCTCCTGATGCAAATGCATGTGCCTTACTTGTTTTGAAGGAATATTTCTACAATCCTATCTATATTCAAGAAAATTTGCTTCATAGCTTTTCTAAATTTAAAACTCTTAAAGATGTTGTCTTCATATCTAAGCTTAACCTTTAGCGTAACTCACTTGTCTTCTCATTTTTTTCAATGCAGTTACTTGCAGATGGCGTGATTCCGAATGAATATGGTATTAATCCAAAACAGAAATTGAAAATTGGCTCAAAGGTAAGTTCTTCATTATAGCTGGGAGATGGATGGATGTTTCGACCAATTGGAATATTTTTATAGCAACATTGGACAGAAAAGAATCATCAAAGAACGTACTGTGTACTTCCAAACCTCTACTAGGCATCTTTATCTGGAATGGAGCATTCATATCGTTCTTGTTCCAAATAGAACTACTTTAATGTAATGGCTCATTGGATGTCTGGTTGATCAACATGTTAGACAAACGTTTTCTCCCAAAAAATTAAGCGAAAATAGGAAGGAGACTACATGTATATAAAGCTCACTGAAACCCATAGATAAGTAATGTGGGATACTTTAACACCCATTCTCACATGCAAAACAGACTAAGAACCCGACACATTGAAATGACAAACCAGGTGTCACGCACTGGAAATGAACCTCAGGTGGAACCTGACTCTAATATCATGTTGGAAAATCCAACCCAAATGTTTAAGTTATTAGGAAACGGGCCAACAATAACTGTATAGTGTGTGTTTGTTGTTACTCGCGCAATACAGAATGTCGACGTAATCCTATCAAACAGATGACGAAAATACACAGAATAATAGGAATAACAGGCAGGAGAGATGAGAGGAAGTTTTGGGATTTGAACCCTTGACTTGTGTTTTAATAATTTTTAGGAACAACCACCAACTATTGTAAAAGTTTAAGCTATTAAATGAAACATGGTTTAATATTTAATTTTTGCAAAACAACGTGATAATAAAAAAAATAAATGATGTTATTGATGATTATATGTTCTGCCTCTGTCCAGTCTAGTTTTGTACGGCAATGGAATTATATGGAAAGATGCATTTTCCCTTACATTCTTGTCCCTCATGTTCTTTTCTTCTTTCTTTTGGGTCATGGCTGTTGGGTTTCGTCAAAATCTGAATTTGTTTGAGATAAGATTGCTCGCCGCTTGCTGGGTAAAATTTTGATCGATCTGAGGAACACACGGGAGGAGGCAATCAGTGTCGCTGAACTGAAAAATAACCAGGACCAAGATTCAAAATCAAACAGCAGTGAATGGGACTATAAGGATTGTCATTTGAAGCATCATGGGAAGAACGAAGATGGGAGAAGATCAAGCACTACGAGCGATAAGTCAATTGATCAGGAAGATGACGATGATAAGGAGACAAAATACCGGTTGGACCCGAAGTAAGTACTTGAGTTTATGAGCTTAATGTTTTTCACTAAATCTTGGTGGATTTCTGATGTTTTCACTCCATTATCTATCAGGTATGCAAACGTCAAGACACCTGATCGCCATGTCCGAACTCGCCTTTATTTCACATCGGTGAGTTTCCAGTTTGACCAGGTTTTTCCATTAGGCTTCCAGTCCCCACAACCAAGAATCTCTCCATTCTCAAAGAGATTTCTGTTTACTGAGATGACTGGGTCTCTCCTGTATGTGCATCCTTATTAACAGGGTGCATGAAGTAAGAACTTGAAAGTTTGCAGTAATTAAATTTCTTCAAGGACTTCATTTTTCTACTTTAAACTGACCTGCTCTGAACCTTATATATATATATATATATATATATATATATATATATATATATATTATATATATATATTATCACGGTATGATTAATATTTACCTTGCCATACACTTGTCTAATAATTCTGCACCAGCAAAAATGGTGAGAATTACCTTTTATCACCATAAACAACACAAGTAATTGCTATTGATGAAGCCGGCATCCTTCGGGGGCGGTTTTGAATACGTTGTTTCCTTTCGCTTCATCTTTGCTCCTAATTAAATGTGCAAAGTTTCTCACGTAAACACATGTTTTTTAATGACAGGAATCACATATTCACTCCATGATGAACGTTCTCCGCTACTGCAATCTGGACGAATCACTTGAAGGAGAGGAAAGTCTTCTCTCTAATAGTGCACTACAGCGGTTGTATAGGACAAAGGAGCTTGATTACATGAGTTATATTGTGCTGAGAATGTTTGAGAATATAGAGGTTCGTGTCTCGTTGCACCCTTTCCTCTCAAATATTGCATTGTAGTTCTTTTTACCTTCTCCATGTTGTAAAACCCGTTGGAAAAAGCAAAACAAAAACTCGAGATTAGAGTGCTGATGCAAGTTTTACTGCAGGTGGACTTAGACGACCCTAATAGATTCCGTATAGAGATGACATTCAGCCGCGGTGCAGATCGATCCCCTCTGGAGGTATGTAATTAACAGGAGAAACTAGAACTTTTCAAAAAGGAAGAGTATTCATGATTTTTGTACCGGTCATGTGGATGATGGAGAACCGAATTATCAGTTCCGCTAGCTTCGCTTGCTCATACCCCAGTCCAAACATCATTTCTGCTACACTGTGAGGCTAATCAAATCGACTGTCCTGGAGCTAACCTTTCCATGACCCGATTTGATATGTCGATGATCGTAGTATCTTTAAGAACTATCTGGATTAATTTTCATGGTTTCGTGTCTTAGGAAATGATCGTGTGCATTTTCTGCCTATTTGTTAAGCGTGTGTTCCGTCTGATGTCCACAGAAAAGTCGCTGTGAGACTCCTTCACTGCATCAAGAGCACATCCTGCCAATCATGGGCCCCGAAAGGCTGCAAGAGACCAGATCGGGCTTGACACTGGAAAAGATGGAGAAGATGCTTTGCCCATTTGCTATGCCACCAGAAGATTTCCCTCCACCGACGATCCCTCACGGATTCACGGGCTATTTTTCCAAAAGCGCCAACGTCCTCGAGCGTCTGGTGAACCTGTGGCGCTCCCCTAAGCATGCTAACGGAAGTGGCAGATAACGAACAGCGCCACTACCTTCCCTTTCGTTTCCGGTAGTATTACAACGCCCAAGACTTAAGCTCTATGCAAGAATTTCTCAATGCATTATGAGCATTTTTCTACAGTTCAACCCCCATCAAGTAGGTGCTTGCTTTCTTTTCCTATTTGAACATCTTTGATTCTGTACATAGAGGCGACTGCAAATCCTTTAACCTCGCCTGAGAATTTGAATTGAAATTCATTCAGCTTCAACATTTTACAGCCGTTCCTTCCCTCTCTCTCTCTCTCTCGGTCAATATTGACACTGGATTTCTTGACCATGTTTATTGGCCAAACCAGAACTGCACTCAATTTAAAGGCATATAGATAATCAGCCATGACAAGATTGCAAAGTAGGTACATGGGTCAAAATTTCAGGACTAGAATTGCCGGTACAGTTTCTAACTCAGAACCAGTGAATTCCATGTAGTCTAGAATTTAAGAAAATGGAACGGGAACTCCTTGTTTCTTGTTCACAATAGCCATCACCAAGTACCTAGTGCCCATCCCTATCGGAACCTGTTCATCGGGCCCTTCCCAGAAGGGCGCCTCCCCTTCGCCCACCAGTTGCCAGTATCCAGCCCTTAAAGACTCCGCTTGTTTGTCGGTACAGTTCTGTAGCAACGCTTCGACTCTGAAGTTTATCCCAAGAGCGCCCAGGAACTGAGACTGCGTGATCGGACCATGAACCAAAACATCTTCTGTAGAAATGTCAGGATGTATATGAAGTGAGAAAAACTGGAAGTACAGTTGATCATACTCTTGCATGCAGAAGCAACCACAACTGCAGCTAACGGTTATATTGCCGTATTATGTTATCTTAAATTTAGTGCACTGGCAACAAATATGGTAGGGTTGTGCAACCTGATGCCTCCTCGGCGGAGTGCTTGACGGCAGCAAAATCCACATACGCACTGAGGTCAGCCGAGCCAGGATCATCCAGTATATCGACAAACTTGTGTTTCCGAATTGCCTGCTCAAAACACGGTCTGAATATGAGAGTCGCTAATAGAAGAGTGAATTATGCACAAACTATTCGCAGGTTAAAACGGTCCTCCACTATGCACGGGGTACTTCGTCATTCTGGGAAGAAGTGAACTGCATCAACTACCTTCCCCATGAACCCATCTCCAATGTAGAGCAAGCTCGAGCACGCAGTTATATGCATGAGCGTTCATGAGAGCGTTACAGCAAGTCTTACAAATGAAGACGGGAAAAGATTTTGACCCGGAACGATCATGCTATGATAGCTATCTTTATGGAGAGGCTATAGTGTGTAGTAAATGAAAAGCTCGAGAGAAGTATAATAGTCAGATGCAGACCTGCAGACTATCCGAGATCACTCCATTCAGACCATAATCGATTATAAGTGCCCCGCCTCCATCGGAACTTATTCTCTTAGCAATTGTCTGTGTCAAGTCCATCGCTGTGGGGCAAATCTCGATATGGTTAAGCTTTTCGATCTCTTCATCTGCAGCCCACTGGAAACGTTTCATCAGATACAGATTTGCAGGAGTGGGCAGTGGAGAGAGAACGAAGCGGAACCTAACAAGTAAAAGGCCGTTAAATCACTCCATCATAAAAAAAAAATACAAAATGATCTCTAAACAGAGAGCCCGATAAAGATCCGAGTCCTTACAACGAATCTTCCTGAATATCAACCATTTTCTCAGACCAGCCACGCGAGGCCCTCTGTTGAAAGCATGGCAAGACCAAGATATGAGATGTTATAGAACACCAATCTACTTTAAATAAGGACATTCGGCAAGGAACATATTTTCTCATGAAGGAAATAATGCTTTTTCAGGAAAGATGTACAACTGATTCAACCACACAGAAAGATCACTAGTATTGTTATCCCAGTGAAAAATTAATAAAAAAAATATTAAAGTTCCAACAGGATCGCATATACATTGTATTGGCGTGCAAATATAATTCTACGCTGGCTTTACAACTGCCTTAAATCCTACAATATCATTTCTAGAGTAGTGTAAAACTTTGGGACTTAAGGTACATTTGTCAAGCCCACCTATCTAACCGACAAGCTGGCAGTTAACGGTTTCTTAAACCTATGTAATAAGCAAATGCAATTACTCCACTCATGAAAGAGATTTTAACAAAACATCCGATAGCAAGATAAATAGAAGACAGGCACATACAGGAAGATCTAAAAATGCAAAAATGTATGTATAAAGACTGTTAAAGCAAAATGGTATTATGAGATCAATATACACAAGGATGACAATGCGACAAAGTCTTTCGCCCTTCAAGTGAAGCCAGCACAACAGCAGGTCGAATTATATTAACCAACTAGGAGACTGCCCTAGGTTTGAATCTCAAGTGGAGAACAATATGCACAAGCATCTAGCAGATCAAATTTCTTAGAAGCAACATCCAAAAAGATAACATCACAGCACACTCAACTAACCTGCTGAAACTAAGGCCGGAAAAGAAAAACTAACCTGAAACTGGTGTATCGGCAAAGCATCATAAAACTCATGTGCAATGATGATTGTTGGCACTGGAACAAAAAGAAACAGATGTCACGTATCGAAGAAAGAGATGCTCAGTTTATGTTTATCTAGAAAGAGTTAAGATCATCCCATCTAAAAGATTCCGAACTCCATAAGAATAATATGTCTTGAAAACAAAGTAAAAGATATTATCTAGTGTAGAATGACCTTGAGCATTAACACCAGACACGTAAATAACAGCATCACTTCACTACAATTGGCATTGACATCACATACAATCATTTTTGTCTTATTGAACGCCAAAAGAATGCAGTCACCACCGTAACTAGTGCAGTTAAAAAGGGAAGTCAATTTCCATCACGACACTTTATTGCTTCAATACCTATACAAATGTTCAGACCTCATCAGATTTAATTATGTCAATAGCATGAGAAACAGAAAACAGTAACTGCTCACCATTCACAAAAAACAAATCAAACACTGATAATGCAGGATAGATGGCTCTTTAGCATGAAAAGGTGTACTGCCCAATAATTGGAAATATACTATTGGTATATGTATGTACTATCAAAATTCAGTTCTGCTGATGTATGTTTTTGTGCATCTAAAGAAGGGGAGAATCTGAGCCTAGGTATTGTATGCTTAACAAATGCAGTATTTATATAGTTTCTTTTCATTCCCACAAAAGCATAATGAAGCAAAGATAAGTCCTTACATCCTGATGGAACCTGCTCCAATGCAGCATGCCACGTTACTGGGGTCCCCGCCAAAGTGCTAATAGTTCTGTGCACAACATCTTGCGATACATTTTCCTCCTCGATACACTTCAAGTTGCTATGCTGGAGTTTCCTCAATGTGGGACTGCACTCCACCATGTGTATGTGCAGTGCCTCTGTGAACCGTTTGAACTTTGATGTACCCTACAACCAAAGCTACACTAATTAATCAGTTGACTGTCATATAATACGGACAATGGACGATGCAGCAAATATGAACAAAAACTGCCCTATCAGAACTAATGAAAGCAGAACATAAATTTCCTATAACTTCTCTCAGGCAAAACAATCGTTTGCAATAGAGCATCGCTGTGGACATACACGAAGAAGGTCGGCCATGAGAGTTCCTCGTCCTGGACCCAACTCAACAAGGTTGACTCTACTTGGTTGTCCCATTTGCTCCCACATGCACATGGTCCAAACGCCAATCATCTAAAGTTACACGATATATGTTAGCAGTGCAAAAGTAGTTGACAATATACTGGAAAAACCCACTGAAGATAGATTACTAAAGAACCCAGTAAGTTTGATTTTCAGCACCCACAAACTTCAATATGACTCAGATATAAGTAATGATATAGGGGGATAGCTACCGGTCTTTACCTCACCGAACATCTGACTTACTTCAGGAGAGGTTATAAAGTCACCTTCCGCACCAAAAACATCACGGTTGATGTAGAATCCAGCTTTTGGGTTAGTCAGAACTTCCTCCATGTACTCGGCAACTGAAATTGGCCCACCACGAAACTGCGAAAGAAACCAATTGCTAACATCAAATTGCAAGTGTCGGCATTGCTCAATAAAGCACGTCAAATGATAGAGGATGCCCGTAATTGACTGTGGAAATCGATGGGTCTCATTGTTCAGACGGTAGGCAAGGACGGGAGGCTTCCATCAGTTCAAAATGAGTGTCGTACACATAGAAAGCTATTGCCTTTCTAATAGCTCTGTTAGATTTAGAAGCAGATTAACAAACACTCTAAGTTTACATTTCATCAACTTAATCATGGAGTGCTATGTGAGTTCTTCCTTGAAAAGATAGATACGACTTATTTTTCAGCTTTATCATTTACACCCAAAAGGCCTTCCACTGGTGAAAGCATTCCATACTACACACTATCAACTCTTACTGAAAAGTCACAACGTAACACCCGATCCCTGAAGCCCGCCCCACCTTCCGCACCTTACCTTGGCACTTACCGAATGTCACATTCACAGGCAAGATCGGGACATTTTCACAAACACAACGCACTCGCCATAAAGCACACCAAGATATCAAGCGAAACCAAGAACCGGGAAAATCTTCCCGTACCTTGATGATGCCCTTGAGGTGCTTAACCAGCTCAGAGTCCGCAGCGGGTTCATGGGAATGCTCTGCAAACAAACAGAAAACGAACTTTACGAGAACACACATCGTCACTCAATGACATCTCTCTACCTTAGATCACACGCGCGAGCTCAAGCGACGAGGCCTTCCAAGGCAGTAGTACCGGGAGGATTGTAGAGAGCGGAGCGGTCGACGGAGATCGCGGCAGAAGGATGGGAAGCGGAACCGTTCGTGGGGTCGTCGTCCTCCACGTGTTCGACGAAAGTATCGCCCGGGTCTTGAGCCGAGGTCGACGAACAGAAGAGCGAGGACCCGCGAGGCAACAGAGGGAGAGACGGAGAAGCAGTGCAGGCGCTGGAGAGAGCTCGCCGAGCTGCGGACGTCTGAAGCAGCAGCAGCTTTCTCAGCATTTTTGCTTCTCTCTCTCTCTCTCTATCAAGAAGATTTCTGGAGCGACACTGACGCCACTGCAGGAGGGACGAAAGATGGATGGAGGATCATGTGGACCGGGACCCGGTTCACTATCCCCGACCCCGAACCGTTTCCTCGAGAGACGTTGAACCGGTTCATCAACGACTCGAACCGGACCGTTCACTGCCCCGCGAAAGGGGCTTAAAAAGTTTACAATACAAACTCACGAAAGCTCGATCGCGTAACCGAAGATATAAGACCAAAGCCAAAGGGAAGGAAAATTGGTAATTTGTTAGGCAGTGAGGCCGCATTTGGTCTGGCCAAGACAATGCAACCATACGAGATTTGTGATATCCTATCTTTCGTTTTGGTAGGTAACCGGATCCAATCTAGATTGGAGTTAAACAAATAGCAAGTAAAATTAAATAAACAACTTTGAAAGCAAAGGGACAAAACCCTATTCTACCGTGCGAATAGGACAACCGCCCCTATAGCGGTGGTGGCCATTTTCTGATGGTGACCTCCACAACGAGGGGGGGGTCGCCTGACCATGGCGACCGTCACTGGGGCGGTTGCAGGGGAAATGGGTTGGCTCGCACGAATGTATCTTAGGAGTAATGACAATATTGTGATTGCCATCGGCCGCAGGGCAACAACCACCATTGAGTGGTCACCGGCAACCATAGCGATGGTATGTCGTGACCTGATCTGCCCAGACCTAGCGATGCACGCAATCGAGAGAGGGAAACTCTTAGGCGAGCACTACATCGGGCGTAAAAATCATTCTTGCTTCTTTTTTTCGTTATTTATCTTCTTTTTTATTTTTTCTATTTAATCTGGATAGCGATAAAATTATCCCGCTCCCAAAGTTAGGATAGCTTACCCAGCCTTTTATTTGGATATACCCGAGCCTTTTATTTGGATATACCCGGTTCGTCCAATGCTTCTATTAGAGCCACAACATGGCCCCCGAATTCTTGTTTAAGCCCTCTAACCTGAAACCCAATGAACTTGTTAGCGTGAATATGAAGAGCGTATAAGGCTTTCGTTTGTGCGACAATATTTTAACACATTTATCACGTGCAAGTCGAATTAGGAGCAATGCGTACAGTTTGACTGATGGAGGTGGATGCACGTATGCGAGATACGCGAGAGGGATAAGATATTATGTTAGAAGCTCCAATCCAAAAACTTAAACTAAGAGATGAAGGGAGACCCTCAAGGTCCTCTAGCTCTAATTTTAAGATAAGAAGTTATGTGGAAAATAGAATTGTGTATGTCCGTATATTCCAATATGTCTTAATGAATATGACATTAGCCTATTTATAGATTTTATTATATGACTTTATAAGATAGTATATTAGTAAAATTTATGCATGATCAAAAGTAGATATGGAGAATCTCCTAAATATATGCACTGCCACAATTGATATGAAAAATCAAAGGGAAATATTATAAACATCTCTTGAATTCGTGTCTGGTTGTCGTGACACGAAACTGTCATTCTTGCTGGGCAGACTACGTGGCTATCGGATGAGACGAATAAAGTTGAGGATCAATGTTGAAAGAGGGATATTGGTAATTATTGAAAAAGAAGATGACATGATATACAAGATTTGCACTTAGGTTTGCACAGTTGTGCACCGGGGGATGGACTCGGGTGTGCTGGAAAAATATTCGCAATGCGATGCTGTTTGTTATGATCGGAAAAATAAAACAAAGATAATAAAATTGAGAAAATGATAACATATTTAACTCTGGCAAATGCAGCCGCACGAAGTGAACGAGTTACTGTCTAACTTTGTGTTGGACATCTAACTCCGGAAGTCCCCAAGACATCTTCTTGAAGAGATGCAATCTCAGAAACGAGAAAATGCTTTGAGCACGAGAGTTCCTTCTCTCGATGCGATGAGGCAAAGACGTGAGTGGAGCCTCCATGGATTCTCACCCAAAGTAGCCTTGGCTGGCCATTACAGTCATTCGACTATGCCCCACATCATGTGGGAAAACCCGAACGGATTATAATAAAACTAACCAGGAGGTGAGGTACGGCTAAACAAATTTCCTTAAGGCGATTAGTTCCTACCAACAATGCTAAGCAGCTTCACGAATTATACCTCTCAAGATACAATACCTCGAACTTATTTGAATTAGCACTATGCAAATAGGACTATATCGAACACTTCTCGAAACTGGCACACTTAGGGAAATAACAAATTGAAGAGAAAGTTTATTCTATTCTCTGTACTCTTATCTTCTATGGAATGAAAAACAAACTCTATCTTGTATTCTTCTCTTATCTCTGTTCTTCTATGAAGAATAATTCAATTTCATTCGTAGAGTTTGAATGGACATGAACTGAACAGACACATGAACTAAAAATATATATGAATTCAAGAGATACATAAACTTAACAAATACATGTATCGAAAAGATTTTTGAACTTAAGAGATTCATGAAATTAACAAATAGATATATTGTAGTGACATACGTTGATCCATTAACCCATGATTATAATAAAGTGTGCACCCGGGATCAGGTTAGATCCATCCAAAGGACACAGAGGGTGTTTTCTTGCTTGATTCAAGGGGAACTAATGAAATTTCCCATCAAGGATTGGATAGCTTCTAAATTGCCAAACATAAGTATAATCTAGTCCTGAGTTAAGAAGACAAGTTAATGTGCCCTCGACCTTGATTCGGGTTGATTTGATCTTTGAAAATTCGATAAAATACTGAGTCCACTTTAATCAAATGAATACTTCGGAACAACAAAAAAAATTGACTTCTCCTCGTTGCAAAAATTGGTTTTTCTGCTTTCTTCGCAAAAGATCCGCCACATAGACGTCAATGAACCTTTTATCGTTGTTTTATAAAAGATTGTCCTAATTGTCGAAATTTAGTTATTATTTACCCTTTTTTTCATGCTCTTATGGAGTTGCACTATTAGTTGATTATGACATTTCCTCAGCATTGTGGCTTGTATATATAGCTTCAAATAATTTAGCAAGGCACTTTTCGCGGAGAAAATTTACCCTGTCTAGGATTCTAGAGATACAGATTCTTCGAGGCCGTTGCTATCCATAACATAAATAGGGGTGAGATTGAATTGAGTTGATTGTGAACAACTCGGGCTCGGCTCGATGGTTATTGAGGTCGACTCATTTAATTCCGAGTCAAGCTCGAGCTATTCGAATATATCGTTCGAGTCGAGATTGAGCTTGCCATATTCATCTTGTCGGATTCATGAGACTAATTATTGAGCTTCAATATATATCTTTTTTTTTTAAAACATGAAGAAATAAAATATAGATACACGAAACTCACTTATCGGTGGCCGCGTTGGTTTGCGCTTAGTTCCTTTCACGAGAGGTCCTGGGTTCAAACTCGCCCATCGGTGATTTAAGTGGGGGGTCGTGGTGGTGGGATGCTGCGCTAGCCCCCCTCGAGGACTAGTCGGGCATCACCGCTGGTTTGAGCCCTAGCTCGCCGGCCGCGCGGACACCTCAGTTATAAAAAATATATATATATAGATACAAGAATTCTTATAATAATATAAAGCTTAAAACAAGTCATACTTCTTCTCAATTGGAAAATTTTTGGGGTTTATAAAGCCTAAACTCGTGCTCAAAATCCAATTCATTTATAAGTCGATTCTATTTCAGTCGAGTCAAGCTCGAATGTCTCGATTGTCAATTAAAATGAGTTTGAACTTTAATCGTAATGCCCGATCGAATCATCGATTGAGTTTTGAGCATCCAGTGCATGAGCCGGGTCGTGCTCGAGCTCAGTACCTTATCTTAGTCTACTCGGTTCGATTACACACCTAACTTGAGGTTGTCCAAGATCTTCTTCCCTTTTCTGTTTTTTCCACCTTTTTGGCCTCGCAAGATATTCTATCATATTCTCCACTAGACCTGGAATCCTTCTGTGTTACGTGTCCAAACACTCATCTCACCGCATAAAAAAGCCATCTTTCAACCTCCCATCTCCAAAGGGGCAAAGGCCACTTATTCTCATGACCAGTGCCTGTAAAAATGCAGATTCTTTTAGCCCTTTTTACAGCTGTGATTGCGAATGCAAACTTTGAATCACCACAACAGTCTCCAGTCTCTAGCTGCGTTTGCTCCCTCAGAAAAAAAAAAACTCCATTGTCCTCTGATCCTTGACTAGAAACGGTCCCGTGAATGACTCCTCATTTTCTAATTCTTTGGGTCTGTTTTTTTCCTTGGGTTTTAATATTCAGGCCATGATTTAGCTCTCATCCCATCAGCCTGGGATCTTCGAATGGCCCTATCCCGACCAATTCATAAGTCTGTGCTTGTCTGAAAACAGGGCTAAGGTGCCTGCCTTTTTCCATTCAGTTGAATCTTTTGTTGTCGCTTCTATGCATTGGAATCGAGGCTCACAGGGAAAGACTCTCCTTTTTAGTGAATCCCCATTTTCGCTTGGACTTATTGTATCTTGGGGTTCCAAATTTCTTTATCAATTTTGCAAATTCGAAACATGGGAAAGTTCATTCGGCTCAATAATATGATCTTTTGGTTTTTTTTTTCTTCCTCCTCACAGTGAATAAACAAAAAGTTTCCAAGTACTATCAGCACTAGTATTCTATGATGTGATGTCTGGAATATGCCAAGTTTACTGTTGGTGAAGGACAAAAGAACTCTCTCTCCTGCCCGCACCTTGCCCGCATTCCCAGTTTCAAACTGCCCGCACTGCCCGAGGCGGAGCACTTTCCCTCTTTCTCAAGCAGCCCCCATTCTCTCTCTGATCCCTCAACCTATTCTTTTGACTAATTTGGCTGAACAAGATTGATTTTTTGGGTGACAGACACACACAACACTGTTCATCTGTCTTTATCATCAGATATGACCTTGTGAAAGAACTCCCAACCCTTCTCTTATGTACTAAATCTTCTGTGGGTGTTTTTGTTTGTGTGCTGATTGAAGATCGTTCAGCTAAAGATTTTAGCTGGGTTTGGGTTGTATGAGGAAAAGAGAAGTTGGGTTTTCTTCTTTCTTTCTGTGGGTGTTGTGAGAGCTGTTGTTGTTGCTGCGGCGGTTGGTGTTAGATGGGGTTAGGGCCTGATTCGATAAAGGTGGAGAATTGGGCTTTGGGGAAATCAAAGGAAAGAGAAGAGAAGAAGGAGAAGGGGA